AGTACTATTAATTTTATATATTAATTTTGACTGTATTAGACATTTGCCCCTTTTTACCGCCAGTAAACATCTAATTGCTGTCATTTTAGCTCTAGTGTACAAAGCGTACTTATTTACTTGTTTTAAAGTTAAGTAATATTTTAATTCTTTTAAATGTTGGTATGATGGTTTTTAATTCGATATTCAATTTAAGTAAATATTTTAATCCAGTTAAACGTTAGCGCAATGTTTTTATAGTGGTCTTTTTATTCTATTTCTTATGAAAGTAATAATTTAACCTTACTTTAGTATTTTATACTCATAGTAAATGTATTTATTTACATTTGCCTGCCATCTTAAAAAACAACGTTTTCATCAAAAATTAATCCATTATATTTAACAATATTTATTTTTTTAAAGTTTCAAATACTTTACTATGTGTAAAATATGTAAAAACAGAGTTTTTCAAGATGGCTGACGATTGTAAAAACTGCGCCAACAATTGCGTGAAAGTAAATCGCCAAAAATCTGTGCAACAGTCTACCAAAGTAGCACCATTAAATTTTGTATTGCTTAGTTATGTAAAGAAAATATTTTCTATCTATTTATGGTTTTGATTAGTGTAAATAATTGGTTGAAAAACGTCCTGTATTAATTTTATTTTAATTTATTCCATTCAAAATGGATATATGAGGGGTGATCAAAGTATTTCTGGAAGGAGGTATAAGAAATAATGTTTAGGTGACTAAATATTTTTTAAATTTTTACATATAATTTCTCTCTTGGCAATGTATTTATATAGTGCATTTAATCTCTGGGAGAAAAATTCTCCTTCATGTTGTAAAATGTTGTCATTGAAAGCTCTCTTACCATTTATATGTTTCATTGTTAATATTTAGTGGACTGTATTCTGTTGACTTACTGTCATACCTTCAGTAGAACTTAAAGAAATCACAAATTTGTAATCTTGACTGAACGTCATTTATTTCCTTCTTAAACTGACATGTTTGCTGAAGAACAGTTACTTAACATGGTGAAACCTGGAATTTTACCTTGCTACCTCAAAGGAACATCTATATCGTTGGAACTCCAGTAACTACCAGTTGATGCTGTAACTGCTTGCTTAGATACCCAAACTAATTTGTGTTCACGTGTCTTCTCAGCTCAGACAATTTGCATTTAAAAAAAAAGACTAAAAATACATTTTGCATAACATCAAACATACCCCCAGCCTTGAAGTCTCAAGGGGGTTCAAACAATAAACTGTAAATTATAAAAATTAAGCAGACCTGAAAAATAAAAAAATAAAGTCTCTAATATCATGAAATAAATGGCAAAGGACATAGCTTTGCTATCGGTCATTTTATTTCACCATTAGAAGTGCATAAGACTGCCACTTGAACTATGTAATCCAGACCAGGATACACTTTAACAATTCTGCCTAATTTTCAGCGGAGGTATAGTCTTGTTCTTAATGAGGACCATATCGCCAACCGTCAGACCTTGTTGCAACTTGCACCGCTTAGGTCTCTTCTGCAACCTAAATACTCACTACTCCATCTCTTCCAGAAGTGTTGAAACAGCTTTTGCAAATTTATGCATCAATTACTGTAACTTAGCTCCTCTTGAATCAGCTTAGGTTCTGGAAGAGCACTTAAAGCTGCTCATGTTAGAAAATGTCCAGTATGTATTATGGTCTGCAGGTCATTGCAATTGCTTGAAGGTGATACTAATGGTGTAGAAGTAAGACAGGATTCAAGTTGGGTTATTAACGTAAAAAATTCCTGATATGGTAGAGTGAGTGTTTCTAAACATCAAGTGTTGTTTCATAGACTTAATCCTGGCTTCCCAAGTCCTCCAAAATAAGGTGCAGAGAGTGGGTTAAATAACCACTGAGCTATATTCTCTGAAGAAATGTTCTGAAGCTCTGAAGATGTTCATTGTGTTTACCATTAAATAAAGCTTTCTTTAGTTCTCTATTAGCACCTGTAAAGTTCGTTTCATTATCACTATGAGTTTCACATGGTTTGTCTTTGTACCTCTTAAGTGTTGCAAGGAAAGATTTTATTTAAAGATCTCCAACTAATTCTTAATGAAATGAATGAAGCCCATGTCAACTTTGATAGAAGGTAGCTCTGTATCTATTGCACCTACAAACAGAACCAAAATTTTTTACTCGAGGGGAGTTTTCACTAGGCGTAAGAACGATCATTCTAGCTATAATAGAATGGAAGTTATGCCTTTTTTCTCGAGTAAAGATCAAGAATATCTTAAAAACTGTGATACTTATTAAAAAAATCAAAGTATGCAAAATATTGTGCTTGAGACACGCTATTATTTAAAAAGAATTTTTTTCCTACCTAAATTAGAACTAAAGTTGCATTTGGGTATCCCAACCAACACCGAGGCTTGTGTTGTACCTAGAGGATTCATCACCTTTACACATTCAAAAAATCGAATTTTATTTATTTATTTATTTATTTTTAGAAACTGTAAACATTTTTGAATCTGTTAAAACAAACGGATCTTACGATAATCGAATTAGAATTTTAAAAATTATGAAATAAAGAAACCGATTCTGAGGTAAATATTGCCAGATTGGGCATTTAAATCATCACTTGACATTTGTTTATATTTGTACGCGCAGCTGCGTACGGATGTTCTCTCATAGATTGCTTTAATTTTTACTGTTAACATCATGTATATTGGTAAAATTGTGTAAATCCCAGAAATCAATGGGCACTAGATTACGAAAGCAAGAAATGAAGGGGAAGCAACTTAGTGACAGTGGAAAAGGTCGCCTTACGAATGATATTATAAAACAGTTGACAATTTATTATGGAAATGCTATTAGAAAACATTGCAATTCTGTAAAAGATATGCAAAAGGCAGTGTGGGCAATATTTTACCACAAACGTTCAACCGACGTGGAACCTACTCACAATTTTTGCCCAATAGGGGAGGGTTCGTGGTGTACATATCAAAGAGCGAGTGCGAGTATAAATCTGAGATCGTGCAAATATAAAAATTCAATTCTAACACCTGTAACGGATGCTGTCAAAGATATATTTAAAGGTAATAGTTTGTCATTATCACTAAAAGAGTGTTTAGGAGAACAAACACAGAATCCAAATCAATCATTGAATGCTTTGATTTGGAAATTGTGTCCTAAAAATTCCGGGTGTGATTATAATGTTAAGACAGCAATAAATGAGTGTAATTGAGGCAGTTATTATATACGACGAAGGTCAAGCTGGGCGACTACATACTAGGAATGAACTTGGATATCGAATTGGTGATAATGCAGTTAGGTTTACAGCAGACACTGATCAACTTCGTATTCAGTCAGCCAAAATAAAGGCAGAGATGTCTACAATAAATGCTTGCAGAGCAAGAAAAGGAGCCAAACAGCTGTTGAAGAACAGGAGGGTATGCTGTATGCAGCTGGGCAGTTTTAAACTGTTTTAGTGTTATTTGAGAGAAAATATATTGAAATTTTGGAACTTTAAACTTTATAAAACCATTTTTCTCAAAATGGTGGTTTTCATACTTGCGCGAACACTTTTTAAAACAATCTATCATAGCTATTAATTTAAAACTTTCAGGCTAAGTACATGATGATATTGCTGAAAAAATGCACCTACTTTTTTCTTTGAAAAATTATTTTTTAAATATTTATAAAATTTTATTGAAAAAAATTTTAACACTTTTTCTGTTTTCTAAGATTTTATTGTAATGGTGTTAATATTCTTTGATATTTTAAAATTTAAATAGGTGTAGAATCATACCTAATGATTTTTCATCACAAAATTGTAAAAATTATTACTGTAACTAGATTTGTATTACTGTCAGTTTGTTTGCGCGCAGTGCTTTAATATAAATTTTAAATTTGGGGGTAATACAGATTGTTTTTTCTTTATAAAACAAATTCTTAAACACTATTAGTAAAATAAATCAAGAAACCTAATTATCTATGTATAGAGATGACATACTGAAAATTTCATATATCTATGACCATAACAATTTGACTTATTAAAACTCGAAAATCAGTCAAAATTTTTACTTTTTGTGTTGTGCAAAGGTGATGACTCCCCTTATTGAGCATATGTCGGGATTTAGAATACTTATTAAAAAACTGTTTGCACCATAAGATTCCTTGTAAAATTCTCTATCATTTAAAGAAAAAGGGTTATTTTGCTTTTATTTGTGCGGAAGATTTCGCTCTTAATGTTAAACGCATGTCCAAAATGAAACACTAAACATGGTGAAATCACGAATTTTACCTTGCTATCTCAAAAGAACATCTACATCATTGGAACTCCAATAATTACTAAATGAAATTCTAACCACCTGCTTAACCTGCCAAACTAATTTGTGTTTGCACCGCTCCTCATCTCAGTGACTAAAAATACAATTTACATAACATCAAACACCATTATTATTGTGAAAAAGTGCACCTCACAAAGCGTTTTTTTTTTTAAATTTTTTTAAAAGATTTTTAAGCAGGACACAAGTAACATAAAGCACTTATGAAGAATGAAGTAATACTTTGAATCTTGCAGCAGTAAGGAAGGTGCATTTTGCCAGATTTCTTTTCAGATTTCAGACACTACTACTGAACTCAACATACTCTATATACTACTCAAGATACACTTGTGATACTCTACACTCTAGGCAGGGTGTTTATAGCTTTTGACCTGCCTTCGAGAGCATTCTAGGGAAAACTGGTAAGAATTCATTCTAGATTGTTCTTGCTCTGTCTATTGTATATCGCCAATTTTGTCGCCAATAGGGGACTATTATTTTTATAAAATGTGTTTGTCTCTTGACTACTTAAAAAGCTTTCTCTTAATGCATAAAAAATATTTGAAATTTTAAAGAAGTTATGGGTTATGCGCAGGAATAATCGTTTTTAGAACACATTTAGTTGCATATAAAATCTTTGAAAGTATTAAATTATTATGTACCTGATAATAAATAGTATATGAATTTCTTCTCAAACATCTGATACTTTATTTCAGATGCTGAAAAATGTACAAAGTGGTTGTGCTGAAGATGGTAGCATGATTAAATTACCAGAATCAAGGCAAAAAGGTAATAAATTATTATTTATAAATCGATAGCATTCCTAATAAACATATCTGTATTTCAGTCTCGATGAATGTTTCTTGTAAAATGCTATACTGCTCAGAGTCTGATGAAATTTAGATGCAAAATTTTATTTCATACTTTTTCGTGTGAATCAAGCTAACACCTTTTAGATTAAAAATATTTTAATATTTTATCTTAAAGTTTTTTCACTTTAAAATTTATTAAGCATCATTTAGTGTATCTATTAAGTGTCAGATGTTTATTAAGTAACTGTAGTTTCACTCAGTTTCAATTAAATTTGGCATAATCTGTTATTTTTTGGAAATTCTTAATGTTTTGTTTATATTTAACATCTGATTATAATCGTAATAAATTATTTTTGAAAATTCTTTTTGTTTATATTTAATATCTGATTTAGCAAGCAGTTTTCAACGCACCAGTTGTGCTTTATTAGCTAGTAGCATGTGCCATTTAATAATGAGACACTACATGAATCCTTTTGTGTGCTATTGCATGCAAGCGGATTCGGCAGAACATAGTTTTATAACAGAGATTTGTACCCTAAAAAATTTGTACCTTTAAAAAATGGCTGAGAAGATTTGTTTGAAGTTTATCTTTTTAGTTCAGAAAATCATCATTAATATACAGTACAAAGTCTATAATCCGGACGTCCATAATCCGGACCTCAAAACTACAAACTTTATGTGCATGCATAAACGCATAGTGCGTTTATGCATGCACGTTTAATAGTATAAGCCAGGCTAAAATTATAAGGCATTTCAGTTAATGTTGCAGATTGCATTGTTCCTTAATTTTTCTAATTAGATCCGGCTTATTATTTTTTACAGACTGTTAGAACAATTTTATAAAAATTAAGCTTGAACTTTCGATTATGTCAAAAAGAGTTTATGCATGCACGTTTAATAGTATAAGCCAGGCTAAAATTATAAGGCATTTCAGTTAATGTTGCAGATTGCATTGTTCCTTAATTTTTCTAATTGGATCCGGCTTATTATTTTTTACAGACTGTTAGAACAATTTTATAAAAATTAAGCTTGAACTTTCGATTATGTCAAAAAGAGTTTCCAATTCTGGAGCTGCCAAAGGATCTACAAAGCGAAAGTATGTTTCGATGTTCATTAAACAAAAAGTGGAATTGCTGCAAAAAAATGGATAAAGGCCTATCCGTCTCAAAATTATGCAAGAAGTATGGCATTGGAAAGCTTTTTTTTTTTTTGTGTGTGTGTGTGTGTGTGTGTGTGTAAATTTTGATACCCTTCAGATTATAATTGTTCTTTATTTCATAAATTACGATTTCATATTTTTAATTGCATAATTTCTGCATGCCATCTTACCAGATTTAAATTGATGATCTATAATCTGGAAAAACCCCTAATCCAGAATAGCTGAAGCCCCGACGAGTCCGGATTACAAACTTTGTACTGTATATATTCTGTTATTAAAATCTATATTTTGTTGAACTGTTAATGTGAAGATTGTAGATTTGAATTGTAACTGGCTATGCTTTCCACTTCCTTGGTATTAAATGCATTTTAGTTAGTTTCATTATTAATAAGATTTGCAAAGTTTAAAAAATATATATCCTTATTTTCCTAAAGAATGAGATGTGATAATTAATATAAATTAAAAACTGGAGTAAAACAAAATTTATTAGCAACACATAATGAATAAGCTTTTATGTATATAGTTAAAATAATAAATAATTATGATTGATTTATAATGGAAGGTTTATTTTATTAAATGACTTGGATACATTTAAAAGGTATAATATGAGGGGGGAAGGTAGATTGATTATCTACAGAAGACTATTAAAAATGATTTGTAGGTATCCCTTTAATTACAAATGATTTGTGTAAATAAAGAGATACCTTTGCTTTTGGACCACTGTTTTTAATATATATTATGTGCAGGAATAACTGTAACTTTGAATGTATCAAATTCCAGAACTATGCAAAGTAAATGTTTTATTTAGCTACAAATAAAAAATATTGAAATTATTTTTCAACAAAGATATAAAATTAGAAGTAATAAGTTAATTCAAATCTCAAGTCAAAATTCCTATGAGTACTGATTTTCATATAATTTCTAATTAAGAAAAGAGACCAGATACCAGTGTAGAATGTCGGGCATCACTCTGTGTTGTCTCTTGTTTCAAAAACTATCATACAAAGATTAATATTTAACTTTTTTCTGTTTGTCCGAGATAACTTGGGATAGTAAACTAATATTAAAAATAAATGCTTTTACACCTTCAAAAAATTAAAAATTCAACTTAAAACCTACATATTTTGATTTTTTTCATTTTGTTGTATTTAATAATAAAATAAAAAAAATGTGATGATTTCTTGCAATTTTTTTCAAAAAAATTTGTAAGGGAAGCGGTTAATTGCATTTGATCCTTCCTGCATCATGCTCTGCAAATGCAGTGAAATATGTTCCTGGAGTTCTGCTAGAGTAGCAACATTTCAGCAATGAACAACATTCTTCAAATGGTCCCAAAGCTAGAAATTGATATGCCCATCAATGAAATATTGACACAAAAATTGTTGTAATCTTGAAATGAAATTGCTTACCCTGATTTCAATCTAAATTCTTATAAATAGCTTAATAAATGTAGAAAATGTGTTTGCCATTTATTTGATTTATTATATATATATATTTGTATATTTTATCACAAAATGTCTTCTATCTTTTGAATTAGCTTTCTCTCTCCAGAATCTTTTTTTGCATTCCTTTAAAAGAGTATATAAATAAAGTCTGATGTAAATCCATTTGCCAATTACAGTTACAGAGTGCTCTGAAAAGGCCACCTTTAATTATGCTCACTGTATGTGTTTTTAATATTTATATAATACTTTCCATAAATAATTTTATTTTACCTATACTTTTATGCATAATATACTTAGTTTATATAGTTTTTAAAATATATATCTAAATGTCACCAGGAGACAGAGCAAATGTCCAGAACATCTTATATGCCAGATTCTAAAACACCAAATAATTTTTCTTCTACCTTAACGATTCATTATTAGTATGAGGCACTTTTAACAGATCTTGCTTCAGCAAGACCTGTCCGTCAGAATACCACGTGATATGCTATGATTTTGTCGGAATCTCTCTTATAGATGTCCTTATTGAGAGTAAATGAATGACAATACTTTCTTAAGAGTAAATGAATGACAAAGAAAATAATCTTTAATCTTTTTATATATATGTACATCTTGTTTAAAATGAAATGTATAATAAAATGGATTATATTGAATAAAAAAATATTTAATGTAAGATTTTTTGTTATATATATTCCAAATGCCTACTAAAAATTTTATTATTACTGTTATATGTCTTTTACAGCATCTTTGGAAATCTGGAGCAAAAGAGAAAGGCGAGTTTTATATTCAATATTGAACTGTGTTTTATCTCAGAAGGTAAATATTTAAATTCAGTTTTATTTTTCATTAACTTAAACATAGTATCAACACTTTTTTCCTGCAAAACTTGATCACTCCATGACAAAACATAGTATTTAATGACTGGAAAATAACTATTTTTTCCCCTCACTATGAAGCTTGGTGCTACTTTTTGGTAACACTCATTAACTTGTTAAGCTAAGAATGTGAACCTAAGATTTCATTATAAAAAAAAAAAAAAAATGTTGTACATAAATAAACAACAAATTAGAACCTGTGGAAGTTAATTTTAAAGCTTTTTTAAAGCTACATCAAACATGTGTATATTATTTACAAATTATTACTCCTTAAATAATATGCCTATTTATGAAGCTTTTAAAATGAAGAGCAGGGATGAATATTAAAAAAATATCTAGATCTTTATAATTAAAGCAAAATGCATATTTACAAACCTTTTAAAATGAACTGATGGCAGTGAATGTAAGAAAAAAAATCTATTCTCAACCAAGGGGAAATTTCAGTTTCACGAAGGAATGCTATTAGCCCTTTATTTCACTGTAATATACTTAATTTTATTCAAGTTTTGGTATTTATTAACATTTCCTGTACATTAGTACATAAAAACACATTAGAAAATAATCTAAACCTAAAAATGTATATTTTAATTTTATTTTCGGAAAAAAGGGGATTTACGTTTAAGCAGTGGTGAAACTGCTGCATGGGGCAAAAAATGTTGAGAAGCCCTGATCTAGAGATTATATAATTAAAGGAGACAGAGTTTAATTTGCCTGTGGAAAATTTGAAAGAAATTTGATATATTCCAGTGTATTATATATTATAACTTAGCATTTATAAATGTTATTCATAATACAGTCAAAAGTCTTTAATCCGGACTCGTTGGGACTTCGGCGATGGATTATCGATTTTTCCGGATTATATATCATGAGTTTAAATCTGGTAAGATGGCATTCAGAAATTATAAAATTAAAAATATGAAACCGTAATTTATGAAATAAAGAGAAATTATGATCTAAAGGGTATCCATGATATTCATAATGACGAGGAATTTGACTTAAATCTTATCAAAGACGGAGTACATTGAGATGAAATACTACATTTAGTAAGGGATTATAAGCCGAATAAAATAAAAACATCTGCTCTGAAGATAAGGATAGTGCTGACAGATCAACTTCCAGTTCATTGTGCGCCCCCCCCCCTCCGCTTGCAGAGCAGCGTGAAATTGATAAACAGATTTCGGAATGGTTAGAGAAACAAAAGAGCCTTTATCCATTTTTTGCAGCAATTCCACTTTTTGTTTGATGGACATCGAAACATGCTTTCCCTTTGTAGATCCTTTTGCAGCTCCAGCATCGGAAATTCTATTTGACATAATCGAAAGTTCCAACTTACTTTTATAAAATTGCTCTAACAGTCTGCAAAAAATAATAAGCCGGATCCAATTCAAAGATTAAGGAACAACGCAATCTGCAACATTAACTGAAATAGATAATTAGATAATTTTAGCTTAGCTTATACCGTCCGTTATACATTTAACACGCATGCATAAAGGTATTGCGCGCTGCATAGTGCGCAAAAAGTTTGTAGCTTTGAGGTCCGGTTTATAGATCATTCCGGATTAACGACTTTTGACTGTAACATGTTTTTTTTTTTATTAAACCTTCACTAAATAAACAATATATGTTCACATTTGTATATATTTTTTCCTTTCTTTAAGGATTACATATTAGCAGTTTCGGTGATAAAGATTCTAATGGAAAAAAGTCAGGAACATGCACCAGAACTTCATTCTGCTTTAGGAAGAATATATTTGCAGGTACTGTTTTTGTGGCAGAAGAAAAATTTAATTCATTATTAATTTAACTATAGGTTTGCTTTTAGTAAATTTTCTTTCCTAATAACTTTTCCCAGCTAAGAAATTCATAAGCTAATCCTTGAAAAATTCTTAAAGTTCTAACTTAGCCATTGAAAAACTTGTTAGCAGGTTTTATAATGTTATTAGGACAAAAATAAATAATCATACTAAGTATCAGCAATAGTCAAGTTCTGTAAGATAACCACCTCCACCAAAATCATGTGGAATTATGGTATTGTTTAATTGTGGTAGTTTTACTGTGTTTACAAAAATACTACTTTAATTGCTGTAGGCTCATCAGCTACCCACCTAAAGGTTAATGCTTATTTTCTTTTTTATAGCTTGGAGATGTTAAGTATGCTCAAGAGTGTTTCACAAAAGCAGGAAAACTTTCAGAAGACATACCAGAAAAGTTCCGAGTGGAAGAAAAAATTAATAAGTAAGAACAGTTCATAATGCTTACATTTCAGAAAATTTATTAACTTCCCTTTTTAGTTTTTTTTTTTAATTGCAGCAGTTTCAGAAAGGATTATTTTATAAAAAGGCTTACATAACAAGAAATTTAAATAGTGCTGAGAATGGCAACACAGTAACTAACAAAAATTTTAATGAACATTGAATATTAATTGCCTTTGTGATATTACTTAATTTAATATAAAACCGAAATTCCACACTTCACATTTTTAAACATAACAGTAATGAAATCTAAAAGCTATAAGCTTTCATGGAACTGTAACCAGTTTCTTAAAAGTAATTGTAAACATTTTTATTTAGTAAATGAAGAAGATTGATTTTCAGAGGGGAAAACGTAAAATATTTTCTTTTCACCTGAGCTATACTTACTTTTTGTCTGAAATCCGAAGTTTGTTCCTTCAAACTTTTTTTTGTTTGTTTGTTTACACTTTGTAATACAAATATATTAACATCTAAATATCAAATTTTCAGACTGACATTTATGTAACATAGTTCTAACATATTTAGTTCATAACTGAAAGAAATTGTGAAAAATTTAAATATTCAGAGAAGCTATCTCAAATGAGAAAACACTTAATACTTAATCTTGACAACTAAAATCCCTTTCTGTTATATTAATTAAATTTTTCTTCGAAAAGTAAATAAAATTACATGTGTTTTTATAAATAATAATATAAATTTTATTATAATAATTATAAATTTCTTTTATTTCTCACAACAGCTTGGCACTTGATGACATTTCGATTCTGATACAATTTGTAGTCATAGACAGAAATTACTAAAAATTATCTTCATCCTAGATTGTAGATATTCATTCGTCAATCAGGTTTCATTCTTATTAATTTTCAACTGTGGGGGCAAAAAACTGCTCACATATCAATGTATTCTTGGACAAAGCATTTATTCTTAGTACCAAATTTCACAATTGATTTATTTTCTGACAGTTCAAATATAAAAGTTAATAAAATCTGTATCTTCAAATCTTTAAATAAGATCTATATCACATTGTAAATTAGTCAGCTCCATTTATAAATTTTCTGATGCCTTAGTCGCATTAATGGTAACGAAAATAATGTAAACGTGGACTTCAGATAATTAAAATCTTTGTAGCACTGTATTTGCAAGAAATTCCTAATTGAAATGTCTTCGTGGGCCCACATAAAATTGCTTCAGGAGCCGCCAGTTTGAGACCATTGATCTAGTATGCAATGTACACAGAATATTTGGGAGGACTTGTGCCTTTTTAAAGAACATAAAGTATTAATAATAGATAATTGATTTCACAGCTGTTAGGTGAAGTTGAAAAACAGCATTCAGTTACTTTTTATTGATCAGTCAATCCATGTCTGTAACTCATGACTGATGTTAAATATCGTAACTATCAATCATTGCTAATTGCTGCCTATAGATAAATATGGCAAATAGTATGTGTATCTGTATGGCCAAAATGTATTGCCAAATATGTTTTCAATGCTGTTCAGAATATTGAGATGATTAGTTTATGCATATAGTGCACCTACCGATTTTAGACCTCTTGCCGAAAATTTAAAATTCTCATTTTAGTGAAGAAAGAAATGTTCCCCATAACATTCATTCTTTATTATTTATTAGAAATGTTCAGACTCCCCCTTTTATTTTTTCTAGCGGGGGTTACTTGTATGCCATTTAGTGCTCAAAAATAGATTGCAGCAAGATCTGAGTAAAACATGAAATAAACTAACTCATGTCAGCTAAACTGACTACTCTTGTTTGCAGATGGTTTGAGTTTTTTTTTTTTTTTTTTTTTTTTTTTTTTTTTTTTTTTCCCCTCATGTGAAAAGAAGCATCATGGGGATCAGCTTAAAATGGTATTTTATTTTCAGAGAATTTTTGCTGTATTAAGGCAAGGTATTCAAGGATCTCCCAAGGATGTAAAATTCACACTTATAACCAGAACCCATAGATTTTATGTAGTTGTCACATAATTAGCCATTTGCGTCAAAACTAATGCCTTTTCTACAAGATGCTTTACAGAGGCTTATGTAAGCTACATAGACAGATATAAGATTTTTGGCTTAATATACTTCTAAAAGAAATAAAGAAATTTTTAACAGTTTATTATTCAATATTATCTCCATATAACTTGATATACTAAACACATCATTTTATGAACCACTTCTGTAAAAGTAATCTGAAGTTTTTTTCCTCAAAATGTTCTATGACTGCTTTATTCATGCCATTATCATTAAATATTTTCTCCAGAGATAAGATTTTAATCTGGGAGACAAGTAATAAATCACTTGGAGCTAACTCTGGATTGTAAAGGGGATAGTCGAGCTTCTTAAATCCACAAGGCTGTTTTTGAAGTGCACTGACATGCTGCTTTTTTTAATTGCTGAAAAAGGTTGCCGTACCCATACAGCAGACTTTGTTTATGTAAAATGTGCAAAACAATAGTTTTAGATAGATCCAATCTTGCTGCTATATTCTTGACTTTTAATCTCATATCACTCAATATTTCCTTTTAGATACAAGCAGTATTTTCTGATGTCAGTGCCTCCAATGGTCAAGGTTCATGAGAATCTTATACAGATTCTCACCAGTGCAAAACTGTTTTACCTTATAAATACCCTGTATTTATAATAAATTTCCATCCAGCATAAATATCATAAAACTCTATGTTAGCTTTTGTTACATTAAGAGATATAATTCAAAGATAAAATGATGGAGGATAAAATTAGACCAGCCAGAAAAATACATGAATAAACTATTGGTTCTAGCTGATATAATGGGTTTTCTGTTATCTAAGTATAATAATTCTGTATAAATATAGCTCTATTGAGGAAAATGTGTTCTCTTAATTCACAAAATATTGAATAGTCACTGCTGTTTGTCTTCAAGCTATGCAGATCTCTCTTTTGTAAACCAAGAAAGTGTAGAGTTTTATAGGGAATATTTTCGCAACCAATTATAGTGACATGGTAGAAGTTCTATATGATATATCTATTTCGCAAATTGTGTCCTTATCATAACTAGGTTTCTGAAATATAGTACAGTAAAGGTCCTCATAACCACTGTACTTGCACTTTCAGTTATTCATAGTCTACCATGCCATAAAACAGAGTTTGAAAATTAATGAAATGAATTATTTTTAAGTCACAAAATAAACACCAGGAATGGTCTTCTAGAATTTAAAACACAATTAAAATGCACCTAGGACTATTTTTACGCTTTCACCATGCGAAACGTCAAAATCCTTCTAGTTTCATGCATGCAAAAGGGAGAAATTGCACAACAGTATACTATAGCATATAGTGCTTCATTACACTATTCCTTATTATTTTATTTAATGTTGGCGATTCTTATCGTGTATAATTTATGAATTAAATATTAGCATATATATTATGTTGTTTGTAGTTGGGATAATTATTTAAACCAAAATTTATGTTAGGAATAAGGTAATTCGTAACATGACATGGTCTGACTAATCTTATAATTCATTATCACATTTTATATGCCTTATCAAACACTAGTACCATACGTATAGAATTCATGCTTAGATTATAGTGTCAACACAGAATTGTATGCCATAACTGTCTATATTGTATGCCATAACTGTCAAAGCCTTAAGTTGCCTAACAGTGGTAATTCTTCTAGATTCTTATTCCTAGCATGTAATTTACATAATGAAGAAGTTTCCTCTAGAAAATCCTCCATGAAGGCATGCCTTAGATAAGAGACTTAGCTCGTTTCTATATTTTTGCAGTATCTTCCATAAGAGCTTTTATGGTACAGCTCCATTTAACAACTCAAATTATATATAATCTGAAAAATTATAATTTAAATCTCCAATGAATATTTAGGGGGGTTAAGGAATCCTGAACATTTCTGTGCAAAATTATAATTAAAGTATCTATTTTTATTTATTTATTCATTCATTAAGTTCCTAAATATTATTTGCACAAGTATTAGAATGCAGAATGGCAATAAAATGTTAGTAGAAAAGATATGTAATTGTAGTGATTAAGAATAGAACTATAATACACAGTGTAGGAATAGTTATTACTAATACTGATGTGAAATATTTTTGCTATAACTTTTTGTCACCTCTGAGTGCTGAAATATTAGCTTATACATAAGTTGAACTAGTAAGTACATTGAACTCCCATTTATTTATGTGTTAGATTGTCTGCACATCATCCCTCCAAAAGTTATCATATTTGTACTTGAGGATTGTTATGATGCATTGTGCCCTGATCTCATTCCTAAGAATCGGAGTAGTATTCCAAAGCTTAACATTAATTGTGACTGACACAGGAAAAGCTAATCTTTGATATCATTAACACATTCGCTGCCAACCATGGGTTATCTCGTAGGTCGAAGTTTGTGTTTAGGTGCCAGCTATGAGTTAATTCCTAGAATTTTTTTGTTTTACCTATGCCATATAACGATGAAAGTCATAGAATTTTCATGTTCTTTGAAAAGCTTTGGGGATTAGAAAAAAACACAGCATTTTGGTGCAATTCAAGAGATTTATTATAATTAATATAAGTAATTGTAAAATAAATAACATAGGAACTTAAAAATAATCAATTTATAATAATCTTTGATTATTTTTGCAACAATTATGATAACAATCTTTGTTATAAGCAACTACGAATATACTTGTAGTTTCATAAAACTTGTAACTACTGTACTAAACTTGTAACTCTTGTAACCAAACATAAAACATTTTATCACAAAAAATGGCTACGATATAACTGGTATAATTAGTACAGCAATTAAAAATTATCTAAATTCAATATCTTCCCAATAAATACGTTTTCTATTTTTATTTTTACAATTAATTACTTAAAATTTGTTGGCATGCTGAACAGGGCTGTGGAGTCGGAGTGGGGCAGATTTTGGGGTAAAAGGAATCGGAGCTGGAGTCTCTAAAAACAGGTCAACTCCAACTCCATTTTTTGTTGGACAGTTTGAATTTGA